TTTCTTCCGTTCCGCCTCTCACCCCGGCCACTTCGCGAAAAAAGCGAGCACTCTCTTTGTTTCGGCTCAAAGGGTACAACGGCGCCGCGGTAAGGAGCACTTTGAAAATCCGACGTATTACCGTCGGCACATCCAATCGCGAAATAGAACAACCATGAAGGTTGACCCGCGTCCCTTTCCCTTCCGTTTCTCGCTTTCTCCGACCCCACCGTTCTGTTTTCTTATTTTTTCTTGACAGCCTTCTTTCATCCCCTCTGCCCCCCACTCCTCGCTCCTCTATCTGCCACGTTCCCTCCGTCTTTTCCCGTTTGCTCGCTCCCACTCGGATTCCCCAAGTTTAATGCAATTAAGTCGAGCGTTAAAATATCGTTCTTAATTCGCCGGCGGCACCTTTTGTTTCCTCTGTGGTTTAGCGCGAGCTACTCGCGGTGGTTCCTCGTTCCTGCCTATGCTTTTCGGTTCTCTTCCACCCTTTTTCAAGTGCAGTATGTTTTCCCCGCAAACAGCGCACGCACGTCAGCCATACACGTCACAAGATAAAACATTCGTTTCACTGGTTTTAATTATTCCGTCGAGTCCCGTTGTTTCTTTCCGTAAGTGTAACCGTGACTACCTGGTTGTTCTTGGGTGTAATACAGTGCTTTTACAACCCAGCTTGGAAATATTTGATCGTTTACAATATTTAGGGTTTAAAAAAAAGTGGGAGGCAGAGAGTAGCAAATGTTAAGTACTTGTCTGTAAATATTGTTTTATTTTCTTTTTAGTTACTTTCATTAATTTTGAGTATATATAAATTTAGACATTCATTCATGATATGTCGTCAAATATTTTGGAGTAAATGTTTTTGATACTAGTCTGTCTGATAGTTGTCAATGATAATCTTCTAGCGTTATGAAATTTTGTTTCACTATCATTAACTCAATCAAATTTTATGCTCAAATATTATTGATTGGTTCTCGGTCTATGGTTTAAGGAATCGAATCCCTTTATCCCGCGTTATGGCATTTACATCGCAGTAATTGAGAATGAGAATCATTCTAGAGTGACATATCTGTATCTAATAAGAGGAAATGATGCGATGATTCGCTGTTTCTTGAACGTGATTCAGTTCAAATTACGTGGGTTAGTGACTATTAAACATTAATATTTATTACATAACTGCATACAAGCAGTTATTTTTACAAAAACAATAGAAGATGTTAAAACTTCTACGACATGGGATGAATTTGGTTTTAAAACAAAAAGCTTTAAGGATTATTATTAATTGTCTTATTGTCTAATTGTCTGATCTAATTGTCTTATTTCCATAGAAATGGGTATAATAGAGGTCTTACATTAGTCAAGCCGATTATAGGTTTAAAAGTGAAGAGAGGCAAAGGAAGATGTCCACTCGCGGCGCTCAGCCCGATAGTTAGGGCCTATGCACACAAGCGACGCGATCCCGCCGCGAGGAAACATTAGAATTTGTGATTGTTGAAATTGAAACATGAAGCTTCAAATCTGTTAAATTGACAAGATATATGAATTTAGTAGTAAAACACGGAAATTAAATTCATCCAACAACTTAAAAGTATCAATATATTCATATACAATCAAACCTCTGTAAACAGGCAAAACCTCTACAACTCAAAATACAAAAACCCTCTATTCATTTCCCTCGCATTTAATATGTATTTTACCTTCACAACTCAAATTCAAAAGAAATCCAACCTCTACAAGTCCAAATTCACATTTACATATAAGTTAAAACTATTAAAAGACCTTCATAAATCGAATTTTCAGTTTTTTACTCGAAAAACCCTATAGCTCAAATATCTTACGTCTCCCCTAAGATTCAACTTATCAATGTTTATCTGTATGTTTCCTTTTTATGAAATCATTCAATTAAAATACTGCCGCCTTATAATTTACGCCAAGGAAACAGAGAATCTTGCGACTTTTCCTTCTACATCTGAACCTTTTCAGCCCAACCGAGGTGTCTAGTGTTCCATACATATCACTGTTTCCTGATTCGCCCGATAACTAAACCACGTCACAAACGTCCACTTTACTTCCCGTCCGCCATTCTTTCCACGCTCCGATCGCTCCTTCCATTGTGTCCGGGCGAAGTAAAGGACTTTCGACAGCTTTTTCCCCGACGCGGTGCGCGAAAAGAACGACAGAAATGGCGAAGAAAAACAGAGCAAGAGGCAGAAACTTCTCGAGCTTTCCCGGTCCTTCTCTCCCCGTTGGCGCTTCTTTTTCAGCCTCTTGCCGCGTTCAACCGCGTCCCTTTGATCCAGTTATTCGGGCAGCGTGTATCGTGGACCAGGACCAAAAATGTAACAAAGTTTCCGCGAACGTCCTGGCACGGATGCCAGCAGGGATTTTGTGGTCCCTTTGCCGCGCGTCGATCTCTGTTCTTCCTTTGCGCTTTTGACCACTGTCGTCCTTTTGACATGATTACGTTCCCGTGCAGGATTCTTGAATATTCATCAGGAATTTTGCGATTTGTGGAATCGTGTTTGAAAAATTCTTTAATGTTCCCCTGGCTGGACAAACTTTCACGCCAGTCGACGAAGAACGTCGACAAAGGCTTTTTATCCAAATGCATTTCTGAATTTAACTGGCATCGAAAGGAGGAAGAAGGTCCAGAATCGTTTTAATCTATATGGTTTCGACAGATCTTGATGTTGATCTCAGAGAAAGTTGTACAATTGAGTGTATTAGGAGGATTATTGGAGAAATTATTTACATTTTTATAAGAAGGTAAGAAATATTGTGGCATAAATATGAAAAAATGGAATGAGTGAGTTTATTAGGTTCAGAAGAAATATTAAGTGAAATAACTGCTATGTAGTTTTACGTTGCAGTGTAACTTTTACAGCAGAAATAACAAATAGGACAATTTTATTGAAACTAAAGGCATATTCAAGTAATCTTCAAACTTATTTTGGGAAACAAATTATTTTCGTGTAATGTGTTTATGAAATATTTGATTATTTTTATTAATAATATAAAGTAATAAACGGTAGTTATTCTTATATAATAAAAACTTACTATGTACCTAAATTCTGTATAAAATTGTAAATACTACAATTAAATATGTTATTACGTAAATGATAATCGCTGACAAACTGAATTAACTAACTACTTTAAATACCTATTAAATCAAATGTTATTTTAATAAGGTAAGTCCAGATCAAATACAGCAACTAGATACCCATTCACTCAGAAACGTAATAATTTTTTGTAAACTTGTAAATTCATTGACAATATTAACTTTGATTTTAATACGCAACGGAAACAATACTTACGAGGTAATAGTTGCACAAACCAAGAAGGTACATGAACATTTTCACGTGACACGCCCTTATATTTTCACCACCCGTTGTTCCCTAATCTCTCCTCGCAGCGAAATTTAAAGCATTATACTACGGAAGAATCCCTTTGATGTCGCGCTTTACATACAATATTTACATACTATCGAGGGAAGACTTTAAAGATATAACTTCTTGAAGATATTTTGAAGACTCTGGAGTACTTTCCACGAGCTTGCTGCATTAAGAATTTAAGAAAGGAAGGAGGGGGTGGAACGGTGGCATTTATTCATTCAGGCATTAATGAAAAGTTCTCGTTGGAGTTTAGTACAGGAACAAACAGGAAGAAAACCTCACGGACAACAGAAGGCAATTGATTAACATGTATTTATAACCTCATTCCGATTCACGGTCGGTCTACCTAATATTAAGTTAACGATAATCAGCTTATTTAGAAATAAGATTTACGAATCACGTGACACATCTTTCACGAGTAGATAATTATAATATCGGTTGCATTCCTTGAAATATTAGTGAAAATCGAAGTAATGCAATAATCTCTGATTCGTTTGCTTAATAATATTTATTACTTAAATTATACAGGTATAACCAGTAAATGTAACTGTTATAGTAACATTCCTCCAATAATACATATAATGAAAAACATTATATACAATTTTTATAACAGTACATATAATGAATATCATTTTCATAAGTACAGTTTATGTTTTAATAACCGCATTAGATTACTTTCATAAAAAAATCTGTTCAAATAAACGTAGTCGCACAGTTAAAATAATAATTATTTTAGTTAAAATGAATTATTAACTCTACCGTCACGTTTAATGTATCACAAAACACCGGGTCACCAGTGACCCGACTTTCGTGTTCCAAGCGTTAAACGTAATTCGCCTCCACGAGATCAATTACGGCACGATATTTTCTGAATAGCATAATTCGTCGTCACAATGCAAAAGAAAATCTTGGGCCCTTCTTTTTGCGAACTCCGTCACTGGGGGTGGTGTTTAACGCAACCGTCCCGGCAGCCACTTCCCAATGCTTTTTCAACGTGGCAAAGTAAGCAGAAAAACAAACATCATGACTTCACGTCGAGACGAGTGTAGGCATACGCGTGCAAGTTGGAAAATCACCGTACAAAACGTCGGAGAGAAAAAGTTTGCGTATTCTGGGCGTTCTGCGAGGAGCGGACTCGACGGAGGACGTTGTTCTTCGAACAACGACTGCCCCTC